TCTCTCTCTCTCTCTCTCTCTCTCTCTCTCTCTCTCTCTCTCTCTCTCTCTCTCTCTCTCTCTGGTTGTCTCTGCAATCTTTGTACCTCCAGTTTGTGGAGCAGTGACAGGGCAAGCGCCCCTCGATTGATAGGTTGTATAGGGGCCGTCGGTGTGTTGTGCCCGTACGGCCCGAGTCCCGTCCTCTGTCTAACCCGTCGTCCACCTTTATTTCCTCCATCTGTCGTCCTAATGGCCGGGACGTAATCTGAGTCACCCACATCATCGGCGCCTGTGGTTGTACCGGCATGGACGTCGGAGCTGTCATCGTGGACAATCAGCATACTTCCACGTCTCTTCCCTCCGGGCTCTACCCCCTGCCCATCCCTGCCTCCGTCACCCGATGCAGCTGCACTAGACTGATGCACTTGATGCACACGGTCGCATCTCCGCAACGTGTCGCCCGAGGCTCCTGTACGCACAACATCTCTGTCCTCTACAGCGCCGCCAGCTGCCGTAATCTCTCCATCCTCTAGACCTTCACGTGTGGAAGGTCCCGAATGACGACGCATGTGCGGCCTTCTTCCTCGCTCGAGACATACCGGCCTTCACCACCCTCGTGAAGGTGACATCCGATGTCTTAGACCGTAGAGGTCTCCCGTGCCAGTCCCTGTATGCTCAGAAGGCGTCATGAGTAGCGCCGCCAACGGCCCCTATAGATTGCGTCCCCATAAGCACATATGCTGGTCCACATCCACCCGTAACTATCTGCTCACGCACAGGGTCGGTGCTCCTGCGGTCGTAGAATGATACTGCGGGCAGTTTAGCAGTCACAATACGCCCACGACCGGAACAGGGGTCGTCGACATGAGGTGCTACTGTCGATGACCCCGCAGTGATGCCCGTGGCCAATGGCGCTCTCCGAGGGGCCCGTCTGCACGAGGTTCCCTAACGCCCAACAACCCAGCGGGCTCCTCGTGAGGACGAGCCTGTGTTGTCGAAGACCCCAGTAAACACTGCTGCGTCGGGTCACCTCCATCCACACTGTTGAGTCCTGCCCGAGACTGCTGATCGCCATGTGGTGTTGGACTTGGTTGGCCTCCTAAGCCGTCGGTAAGGACGGACTGCACGGAGCGACTTTGACGCCCACCGCAGTCCGGAGACACTAAAGTGTCCAATGAATCCGCAAGACTGCGCTGCGCGGAGATGTGTGGACCGTCGTGTCGGTGGCGTGTGCTCGTCTCGGCCTTGCACAACCCAAGGTTTCCCCACATGAAAAACATCGGGAGTGGCGGAGACCATGGGATGCAGGATTGTGTCACCGCCAAACTCGTTAAAACGTGTGATGCCTCCATTGCCTCGGTCCATGCCATCAGGCTGATGTTGCTCTGATGATGGCACAATGGGTAGATTTGGAGATATCAAAGTAGAAAGGTCTGGAAGTTCCATGAGGGCTGAATCCATGGCCAATAACTCATATGTTGGCGGAATACTTGTTGTTGGGTATGCGAGACCGACATCACCGTCTGCACTAGGTGCACCTGCTGGGGTCTGCAAAACCTCTCCATCCTCCGTGTCGTCCGCACAGGAGGGGGCAACAATGTTAGCTGTCAATGCAGGCGGTGCCGTGCAAACTGCATCTGTCCCATCGACCTTTGAAAGGACTCTATCAGTTGTCCCATTAACCTCCCAACGAACGACACCACTGGGAGGGGGCATAGACCCTCGATCATCCGGAAAAGCGTAAGCCCGAATTACCTCATCCCCAAGATCACTCTTCGGCCTCCCATTTCCCGCTTCCTCAAATGCATCAGTTGGAGTGCACAGCCGTGGACCAGTGTCGTGCCCCCACTGCTTCAAGGGTCTAGTCAGATGTCCTTCCCCGGACCGAGCTCAGTGGTTTGGTGGACTTGCAGGCTGTCACGCAGGATTTTGATAGGTATAAAATAAAAGTGTATTCAGAGGCAGTCACACTTTGTCATACAGCCGAGTAGTCAGGGTTATCCCTCTTGCCAGCGGCGACACGGCTTAGAGTGAGGCGTTCGGGTTTATCGCCTGCACCTGACCTTGTATAAAGGTTAGACTCAAGGTCATCGGAGTCCCTATCATCCAAGAGTCCTTCAAGCTGCCTTGAGTGTAGCCTGTGTATCATAAGGAGGAAAATAGCGTACATACATCATTGAGCAATTGACAGAATGAGAAGACCAGAAACCAGACTCTGCAAGAGCATGACCAGTGATACCAGACTGAAGAGTAGTACACAAAGTATGCAGGGAGCAGCCATTGGAGGGCTGCAGTCACTAATAAATAGTAATGTCGTAATACATCATAGTGACTGAAAAGAGAGAACCTCAATCAATGATAATAAGTGGTACCCCCTCGTGAGTAAGTGCTGCTGTCTGGGACTCCATATCTGGCACCTCGTCATTGAGAACCCGTATGGCTATAGACTCTGGAACCACATAGCTGATATCGAGAGGCGCTGCTGGATCAAACTTGCACATATAGGCCATGCATCTCGCCATCTCCTCGTCTGCGACGCTCCTGAGATAAAGCTCCTCCGCAAGAGTGATGTCGCCTGTAGCTCCAATCAGTATCTCAATCCGTCCTCTCCCACCAGTATAGATGTAAGAAACCTCGAGAAAACGATCTCCGTAAAGAGGCTTCCGAAAAGCCTGCATAGCAAAGTCCGTCCCAACCAAATGACTGTAGCCATCTCCGAGATATGGGACCGGACCCTCCCCTCTTGGGGGACCAATAACCGCATCGGTCCTAGGGTCGTCTGACATGTAGAAATCAATCGCCCTCGAGCAGATATCGTGCAAGAAGATATGCAATCCTCCTCAATGTCGCTCTCCGTCGTCTCTGCTCACCGGTCTCCAGTGCTCCTGCTACTGTCCACAAAATTAGTCCCTGTGAGTGTCCCAGTCGAATTAGTCGCCAAAATCAATGTCACTCACGCAGCACGGCCCCTGATCGAACTCATCTGTCTCAGATCTCTGTACGCATGTAGTGATCGGGACCCCGGATCTGGCTATCTCCCTCCTAATCTGGTTGTCCTTCCGCCTCCTTCCCTTGCTGCGAGACTCTCTGAGGGGCTTGGGGTTACACCCATCAAAGTTGAAGAGTACACCCCCAGGTGCCGAAGGTACGCGAGGAAACACCACATGTAGCCAATTATCCCTCCAATAGCTCTCCCTGCGAAAGATGTAATCAGCAATCCTGTCATATGTGGTGCCCTTCAACCCCTTCTCTGCCCCCTGTACCGAATAGGTAATCAGCAACGTATGTCTCGAAGTCGGTGACTCATTGGCCCTGATGGCAAAGCTCTGGTGTCCCACATATCGGTAGCAGAACCTCTCAACCAGTCTACCCCACGTAGGGGCAGTCTCACGATGACGGGCCAGCTTGGACAGAGGACGCATTCTCACTAATGCGGATGCTCCCTCCAAGACCTGGCCGGATGGTAGTCAGTAACACAATGTAGAGGCCCGTCTGAATGGTTTGACTGAACTGCAACTCGATATAGGGCCCGCCTGAATGGGCCCGGCTGAACAGCAACTCAATATAAGGCCCACCTGAATGGGCCCGACTGAACAGCAGCACTCTCAAAAGAAAGGGCCCGGCTGAACAATAGCACTCTCAAAAGAAAGGGCCCGCCTGAAAGGGCCTGGCTGAACTGCGACAATCTCAGGAAATGGGCCCGCCTGAAGGGGCCCGACTGAACAACAATAATCTCAAGTAGGCCCGCCTGAAGGGACCGGCTGAACAGCAACTGATCAGTAGAACATCTCAAGCACAGGGACCAATCATAAATGTTGAAAGTACTGGGGCTGGACTGAGCCAAATCACCTGTGTAGGGGCTGAACTGCAAATGCCCCCCGTGCGTGGGAAAGTATCACGTGCATGAGGTGATGCTGATCAGCGAGGAAATAAATCAACGGGAGCGTGATGGCAAATCATCCCAGCTAACAATCCTATGCTCGGGCGTACATGGGCTCGCACTCAAACGACAATATCCAACCTGGGCACACACATATCCAGCGCAAGTGCACATGGGTGTGCACTCAAATAATGATATCCAGCCTGGGCGCACATGGGTGCACACTCTAACAGCAATGCCAAGCTTGGACGCGCATGGGCGAGCACTCTAACTGCAATGCCATCTTGGACGCGCATGGGCGCGCACTCTAACTGCAATGCCAAGCTTGGCCGCACATGGGCGCGCACTCTAACTGCAATGCCAAGCTTGGGCGCGCATTCAAATAGAAATATCAGGTCTGGGCGCGCACTAAAATATAATATCTGGTTTGGCCGCGCGCAGGCATGCACTTAAAAATAATATCTGGTCTGGGCGCGCGTGGGCGCGCACTTAAAAATAATGTCTGGTCTCGGCGCGCGCGGGCGCGCACTTAAAAATAATATCTGGTCTGGGCGCGCGCGGGTGCGCACTTAAAAATAATATCTGGTCTAGGCGCTCAATCTGTTGGTCAAATGATAACTGAATATGCTTCTGCTTGCAACTTCGATGATCAGTCAAACAGGATAATAACTTGGCCTTCTCTTAGGGCCAGACCGCTACTGTCATTAAATGAGAGTTGGTCAACGAAGCATGTACAGACTCAAAATCAGCTATTTTCTAAGCACTCAGTTGAAATGGACACCGGTGCTTCAGGTCCGAAATCGGCAATGCATGGCCCTCAGATATGGTGCACAAACAGCTGCGAAGCTGCGAAATGGCCCTCAAGTATAGCCCTCAAGCATAGTGTGCACACTGCGCACGGTTTCAAACTGCAAAAGATGCTTCTGACATGGCTCACATGTTTGGTGTGCATGCCGCGCACAGTTGCAAAATAGCACAAAGTTCAAAAAGGCCCTTGCGAATAGCACAATGTTCAGAAAAGGCCCTTGCGAATAGCACAATGTTCAGAAAAGGCCCATGCGAATAGCACAGTGTTCGAATAGCACAATGTTCAAAAGGCCCTTACGAATAGCACAATGCTCAGAAGTAGTACGGTGCGTTCTCTGCACAGTTGTGGAAATACTCAGATATGGTCCTCAAGTACGACGCGCTCTCTGCGCACAGTTGTGAATTACTCAAATATGGTCCTCAAGTACGGCGCGCTCGCCGCGCACAGTTGCGAAACACTCAAATATGGTCCTCAAGTACGGCGCGCTTTCTGCGCACAGTTGCGAAACACTCAAGTATGGTCCTCAAGTACGGCGCGCTCTCTGCGCACAGTTGCGAAACACTCAAGTATGGTCCTCAAGTACGGCGCGCTCTCTGCGCACAGTTGCGAAACACTCAAATATGGACCTCAAGTACGGTGCGCTCTCTGCACACAGTTACGAACTACGAAATGCTCTGATAAGGCCCTCAAGTATAGTGCGCACGCTGCACACAGGTACAAATAGCGAAATGCTCAATGTGACTGCGCAATCAGCCTGGTGTGACTGCACAAACAAAATCTCAGAATCGGCTTGATATTTGGTATGACTGCACAGGCAGTCTCAGAATCGGCTTGGTACTCAGTGTGACTGCGCTGGCAGTCTCAAAATCGGCTCGGTACTCGGTGTGACTGCGCTGGCAGTCTCAAAATCAGTTTGGTACTTAGTGTGACTGCGC